AAGGAACACATTTCACTTATGATAAAAGGTGCACAAGTTATGAAAATTATGCCGGATTCGTATATTTCAAATGTTGACTGGATCCCTGTTGACATTGCTTCTCAAAGCATCGTTGAGATTTCTTTAAATGCATCATTTGACAACGACATTGATTATATTCGAGTCAATCATATACTTAATCCAAAAAGAATTACATGGGATGAATTCTTAAAATCCTTACAAAAAAGTGGAATGGATTTCAAAATTGTTTCGAATAAAAAATGGTTAAATACATTATTAAAAACACCCGAATATCAAGACGTGGATAAAAATCCAGTAGCAGCATTATCGGGATTTTTTGAAAAAGCTATAAGCGAATCATCAAATAAGAATGAAGAACCATTATTTGAAACGCATAGATCAGTAAATCGTAGTTTGGCACTTTCCAGTTGCCAGAAAGTTGATGTGGAATTAGTTAAAGTATATATTAATCATTGGAGAAAAATATCATTTTTATATTAGCTAATTTATGTATTAATCATTAGGAAAAAATATCGCTCTTATTTTTATAAAATATTTCTTATAGTTATGTTTCACGCTCGAGTTTTATCTATCTTGCTCATTATTTCTTAAATATAATAAATTTCTATACAGTATAGATCAAAATTTGTAAAATGGCTAGTATAATACACGTGATAGAAAACCACACAGAATACTAATGTTATGGATAAACCTGTTTTTCAATAACAAAATATTTTTGTCAGTGATAGGGCTGTTAATCGGTTCGTCCGGTTCATCCTGGTCCAAAGACTGACAGTCTTTTAAAAAGTTAGACCGGACTCAATAGGGTACTAATATGGTACCAATAGGGTATAATAGGTTATTAAACTTTTTACTGATTGAAAACTATTTACTCAATAGTAAAAGCAACCAATCAGAACCAATAAGATACTATTAGGTACTTAAAGGGTACCAAATAAGTAAACTCACCAAGAGGGTACCATTAGCTAATTACCGGACGGCAATATTTATTATAAAATATGAAAGTGTTATAACTCAAGAATAAAATATTTTAGAAACAATCTATTTTACAGATTTGCTGTCGTTTATTCAAACTACAATTCTGTTAGAACAGATTTTTATTTGTAATTTTAAAAAGTTATAACACTTTAAAGTTTATATGTATCGATGAATAGTGTATTCGAATATTCGAATATTCGAATATGTAATTGCTTCACCAATGAATATTCGAATATAAAAATTATTCACCAAATAATTCAATGAATATTCG